AAGAAGAAGAAGAAGAAGAAGAAGAAGAAGAAGAAGAAGAAGAAGAACCCTTCCAACTGTCATAAGAACATAAGAGATGCCAATGTCGGATCAGGCCAAAGGCCCATCCAGTCCAACACTCTGTATCACACAGTTGCCAGAAATACCAGGTGCCATCAGGAGGTCCACCAGGGGGGCCAGGACATTAGAAGCCCTCCCACTTTTGCCCCCCCCCCCAAGCACCAAGAAGACAGAGCATCACTTGCCCCAGAGTCCCTATCTATACCTTGTGGCTAAGAGCCACTGATGGACCTCTGCTCCATATGCCTATCTAATTCCCTTTTGAAGCCGTCCATGCTTGTAGCCGCCACCACTTCCTGTGGCAGTGAATTCCACGTGTTAATCACCCTTTGGGTGAAGAAGTACTTCCTTTTATCCGTTCTAACCCGACAGCTCAGCAATTTCATGGAGTGCCCACGAGTTCTTGTATTGTGGGAAAGGGAGAAAAGTACCTCTTTCGCTACCTGCTCTTTCCCATGCATAATCTTGTAAACCTCAATCATGTCAGATCTTAGGTCCAAGTACTCTTGCAACACTCTCGTAGTAGCAAGATTAATTTATTGAGAGTTACAGGCAATGTCCCCTCTAAGCTGTGGAGCCTTGTGAGCAAAAATTCTACTTTGTGAGCTCTTGGCATTTAAGTTGTGAGCCAGCAATTTGGCTACTGCAGAAATTAATCTGCTCTGGAGCCCTCCTTCCTGAGCTACGATAAAAATGTGTGCGCCGGAGGCTAAAAGACTGTGAGCTAGCTCACACTCACTCAGCTTAGAGGGAACACTGGTTACAGGTCATCCAAGCATACACAGCGTTCGCGTTGGAACAACCGGCCCCAGACTTCGGCAAAACCTATACAGCGTGTCGGACCACCCCTGGGTCCCTCCAGTGCCCAATTATCGATTCCCACACAGCCCACCAAAGCTTCAAGCTCGCCCCCCAAACTAACCGTTATGTTATCTATGCAGTGCTGCAAGGTAGTGCAGACGGCTACAAGCACTAGACCAGCGAAGCAGGGATTCACACACTCACTCACCCCTAAGGAATGCACATAAACGAAAAGCAGTCGGAGGGGAAGAAAGGCGTTAACCCTCGATGTAACAGAGCAGCAGTGTTCCCTTTAAGCTGAGTGAGTGTGAGCTAGCTCACAGTTTTTTAGCCTCCGGCGCACACATTTTTCTCTTGGCTCAGGAAGGGACGGCTCCATGGCAAAGCAATTGATGCGGTAGCCAAATTGCCCGCCCGCCACTTTACTGGCAGCCCACAAAGGAGATCTTTTGCTCACAAGACTCCACAGCTTGGAACATTGCAGAGCAGTAGTATCAGTAGGTAACAATACGTGACAAGTGAGGTACGAACTTGACACCAACTCTATGATTCTATGATTCTAAGGAGGTGGGGGGGAGGGGGAGGAGACTGGATTTATACCCCGCCCTTCAATCGGAGTCTCAGAGCGCCTTACAATCTCCTTTCCCTTCCCCTCCCCACAACAGACACCCTGTGAGGCAGGCGGGGCTGAGAGGGCTCTCTCAAGGACTGAGAGAACAGCTCTGAGAGAACTTGTGACTGGCCCAAGGTCACACCGGCAGCTGCATGTGGAGGAGTGGGGGATCAAGCCTGGTTCTCCCAGATTAGAGTCCGCGCTCTGGAGGTCTGACTGCCACAAGATTCCTGCCCCATGTCCAGAAGGAAGTCCTTTATTCTAAATGTATGGGAATAGGCTACAGTCGCTTAGTGGGAAGAGAGCGATCATTTGTACATGATCTAATTCCGTTTTGTTTCACAGCCCAGAGGCCCTTGTTATCGGACTTCAAACTTTACTTGCGGCCCAAACAGTTTAACCACCTTGCACGCTCACACAGACTTGCGTTAGACATTTGCAACCTAGAAAGCTGAAACAACAATGATGTTTGTGAACTCTTGTAGGCTGGTCGTCTAGATGCAAATTCCTACTCGCCACAGGCGAGCGGCCCTTTACAAGCTCGATCTAGGTTTCTTCAGTTCTACAGAACGGGCTTGGCCGGGGCCGTCAACTATTGGACCAGCCTCTAACAGCAGGTTCGTCCTCATTGATCAGCAGTCATTTTATCCGCACAAGTAAGTCAAACCAAGACCGCGTGCATAAAAAGACACATTTTACAATTCAATAAATCGTGGCTTCATCCGTTGAAACGCAATGGCACGGCTTCAAGGTGCTTTGGCTGGGCTGCAAGATACACAGGCAGCTTCCTGCGTAAAAACTTGCACTTCATTGACGAACCACAGTTCGACCTCTCCTTGAACTGACTGACCTTCCTTTCCTAGAAGTACCAGGCCCATAGGTACAGTGGGGCCCATAGGGGCCTGGCCTCCCCCCCCCCGAATTACCGTAAAGGCCCCACAACTTTCCATCCAGCCCAGCCCTCCCCGACTTCCATTTCTTATTTTATTTATCAAGTTTGTCAGCAGCAAGCCCCGTGCTGCCCTCCAATCCCAAAGAAGGAGGAGGAGGAGGAGAAGAGTTCCAGCTCCTGCCAACCTAGCAGTTTGAAAGCAAGAAACTGCAAGTAGATAAATAGGTACCACTTCGGTGGGAAGGTAACAGCATTCCGTACACCTTGGTGTTTAGTCATGCCGACCACATGACCACGGAAACATCTTCGGACAGCGCTGGCTCTTCGGCTTGGAAACGGAGATGAGCACCGCAACCCTAGAGTCGGACTTGAATGGCTTTCGAGCAAGGGAACCTTTACCTTTTTAATACATGACAGCAGGTACTACTTTCACTGATATATTGACTTTTAAAAGAACACAAGCCAAATAACCAACCTTTTGTTTAGTGTGTACACTTGTAGAAAGACCCCCCCCCATGAATGACAACAACTATCCTGGAGTGTGGCCAACTAAATCAATCACATTTTTTAAAAAAATAACTATCAAGCAGCCCTCCGTGGGAAATTCACAGCTTCAAATCAAAACTGATCTGGCTTGGGATAAGGGCTGCAACCCTCCGCATGCCTACTTGGATGGAAGCGCCGATGAGATTTTGTTTCCTTGTAAACAAGCCGAAGGTTCGGTTGTTAACAGTCTTTGATTTCCTTTCTTTTTTTTTTAAGTTTCCTGCGGTATAGTTGGGTGGCACAAGAGTGACACCTGTTGGCCGGTCTCACTCACTGCAAGATGGATTGGTCCAGGGGGGTTCTCTCTAGGGATGGATGTGGATGGGGAATTTTTTAGGGGCTTTATGGACCAGTGGTGAGGCAGTACGATGGCCCCCTGGTGTGCTAGAGACACCTAACATAGGGGATGGCCAGCTGATTCTTCCCTACTTGTCTTCCAAGTCTGGTGAGGATTGGATTTATGGGGTCTGAGTTATGCCCCCCTCCCAAAGAAGATCCCCCCATGGGAAATGACCGCCTGAGATCGCCCCAGAAAGCACGTTCCTAGGGGCACATACTTTGGGGAGGTATAACTCAGACCCTGTAAATCCAATACTCACCAAACTTGAAGGGCAGGTAGAGGAGAGTCAGCCGGTGTCCCTCTGGGAGTTTGGTGTCTCTAGCTTGCATAGGGTCTGCTCTACACACTCCCGAACCTCCTGAATCTGCACCTGTCAAAATGGCAGCTGACAGGCAGTCATTTTGACAGGCAGGAGGTTCAGGAGAGTATATAATGGATCCTGTGCAAACTAGAGCCACCAAACTCACAGCAGACCTCTCCCAGATGCTCCGCTACATGCCCTCCAAGTTTGATGTCTCTAACTTGCACAGGCGTTCGTTTTGACAGGTACAGGTTCAGGAGTGTATACAACCGTTCCTGTACAAGCTAGAGACACCAAACTTGGAAGGTGTGTCGAGGAGCAGCCGGGAGAGGTCCCTTGTGAGTTTGGTGTCCCTAGCTTGCACAGGATCCGTTCTATATACTCCTGAACCTGCACCTGTCTAAATGACCAAGGTTCAGGAGCGCATAAAACAGATCCCGTGCAAACTCGAGACACGAAAGACATCAGAGTTGCAGGGGACATTCCCTGGATGCTCCTTTACATGCCCACCAAGTTGTTACTTTGAACAACATCAGTGTTCGTGGAAAGTTTGTGCTGGTCGCCCTGCAACGCACGAACCACCTAAAATTCGTCACAAATTTTCGTTCATGAGCCGGTTCTCTCCCATCGTCGCTCCAGTATCCGGGGACGGGGAATGAAAGTGAAACCAGGCAATTAACGGTCACACTTTGCCTTAAAAACTGTGCTGGCATTCAAATAAAGAGTGGGGGGGGGAGAGCGGGAAGCCTGTCGGAATCAAAGAAGGGGAGGGGAACACGAGTGACTGACTGCACATGTGCAGGGAGGGAGCGGTCAACATTCGACAGTGTCAGAAAGAGAGAGAACACAGGTGGAAGGATAAAAACAAACGCGGCGCTCTTTGGCTTGGGCACGCCTCCTTTCGGATCCACTTAGTGGTCGCTCAGAGACTGCTGGGTTTCGACAGATTTTATCCAGCCCAGGGTGTGCGAGAATGGCTTTTAGCGAGGGGTATAATCTGATAAAGGGACTCTGGAAAGCTCCCGCGCAGAAAAGAAGGCACTACTGGACTCGAATCGAGCTCTTCTACTACCGGCCAATACAGCGGCCCTCTGAAACTAACAAGGTGCAATCAGGGTCAAAGAACCAGTCCTATGTAGCAGGATCTCCCAAATACTGTATCGCTAAAAAAAAAAAGCATTTCCAGGCCCTGCAAGTCAGCCAAGCCATACTCCGCCAGTTCCTTCCCTCACGGGCCCGTAGCTACAGCAGGGGGGAATCTCGGGGCTAGGACGACTCGTCGGCCAGGCCCCCTGGCTTCCCATCTGGCCCAGGGTGTCACGGCCTTCTCCCCCAGATTAAATTGACAGCCAGTGCCCCCTAAGAGATTTAAATGCCCCCCCTCTTAAAAAAAGTCTTAGCTACGGGCCTGTTCCCACACCTCTTTAAAAGCCAGGCTAGGTCTTACCTTTGATGCTTCCCAGGGAGAGGGAGCGATCCCGGTCCAGGAGGTTCGGCCCCGGCTTGTGGCCACTGTTGTCTTTTTGCCGGGCCACGGCGACGGCGATGCCCACGGGGAGATGCCGCACCTCCACTTCCCCCTGAGACCCGATGCTCTCGCGCCCAAAGGACTTGGCGCTTTCCGGCCTCTCAGGCTCCTTCTTTAACTGCTTGCCTGTTTGGTGGGGCAGCAGCTGCTGGATCTTGGAAAGGCCTTGCTGGGAGGGGTCTAGCTTCATGCTGCCCAGCCCCCCGAACGGACTCTTCTTCCCACCCCCCTGCCGCGCTGACGTCTCCTTGGCGAAGCTGCCACTGTACTGGATGAGGCTCTGCATGGCGGAGCCTTCGCCGTGCGAGGTAGGGTGGAGGCCTTCCGGGGCGCTCCGGGGACCTGCCGCTGTAGATCTCTGCAGGCCGCCGGGGTCAAGGTACGCCTTCTTGGCCTCTTCCTCTACCCGGTTGGCGTGGTTATGCTGGGCGGCCAGGACGGCCATCTGGGTGGTGGCAAAATTGCCCATCTCGAAAGGCTTCCATTTCTGTTCGGGGGGCTTCAGCGGCCCGTGATCGAGAGGCTGCCGGGAAGAGGAGGAGAAGGAGGAGGAGGAGGGAGAAGAGGAGTCCAACGTCCCATATATCTTAGCCGCCTCTTTGCAGCCGGATCTCTGAAACCGGTCCCGCTCGCAGGAGCGGTGTTCCACCTCCGGGCTGGGTTTCAGCAAGTCTTTTGAAGGGAGGAACTCCCTGCTTTCGGGGGAGCTCAGCCTCGGCCTGTTCGAGACGTTCTCCGAAGCCCCCTGTCTCTTCAGCACCATGGAGTTGGCCCGGATAACGGAGCTTTTCTCCCTCAGGACTTCCATGTGTTTGGCATCACCATGGCCGGGGAAATCTTGGGGCAGGACGTTGCGGGGCTGGTCGCCCAGACACCTGCTGGGCAACGACTGCAAGACACCCACCCGGGCGGCGGTGGCACCGGAGGCGTCTCTCTCTTTCGCTTTGCCGTTGTCCCGGGCCTGCGAGGCGATCTGGATGGGGCCATTCCTCTCGTCGTAGGCCTCAACCGAAGGCACGAAGGTGGGGGCGATGACTTTGTGTTCCCTCCCCGGTTCCTTGGTCAGAGGAAAGATGGTATACATGTTGGAATGGACAGGCTGGGGAGGGAAGGCTGAGGACGGGGTCAGCTTTCCCGGTTGGGGCGGGTGCGGGGAGGGGCAGCTGCAGGCGACGTGCAAAGCGGCGGCCGAGCCCATCGCGGACTCCCCCCTCTTCAGCCGGTCCGGGTGCAAGGGGTGAGGAGAAGGCCTCATGTTCTCGTCGTGTCGGTTCGGGTCCTTGGCACAGCGGTCCTGCTCCGAGCCGAGCACTTTCCCCAGGAGGTCCCCGCCGCCGTTGCAGTTGTTGAGCGAAGAGGTCTGCAGCGGGTTCTTGGACTTTGGTTCTCCGCTAAGGCTCCCCCGGTTCGGCACGTGCTCGGCCAGGAAAGGGGACAACCGCTCCCCGGCCTTGACCGCCTTCTCGGGGACGCTCACTTTCCTGTCGCTGTCGGGCTTGGTGTCCAGTGTGAGATCCACCACGCTGTGGGGCCGGGCCTCCTCCTTCAGCTTGCCCTCCTTCTTGGTCACGGGCAAGGAGAGGTCGCTCCGGCTCGCCCTCTCCTTGCGGGCGGGGTCTTTCAACGTTTCCTTTGAGTTCCTGTGCAGGGGGCCAAGGTCTTTTTCCCGGAGCAGGGAGTTTGGGGTGGGGTTGGACGCTGTCCGCGAGGGAGGGCCCGGCGGGTGCAAGGCGGACTGTCCTGCGTGGCTGGTGAGGTAAAATCCATCTGCAAGGAAAGGAGGGGGAGAAATGAGAAAGGCTCCTATTCCGGACCTTTCTATCGAGGAAAGGCTGTATTTCACAAAGCACTCTCATTCACAATAAAAGACCCGCACGGTCAGTTCAAGAGACAAATATGGCAAAGTGGGTGGAGAAACACATCCATATCCACAAGACATGCGGGTCTCTCTTTCTGAACACGCAGGAGGAACAGGAACACGTGGAATAACTTCTCGGACATTGCCTGCTGAAGTCGGAGGCATGACTCGATTTTAAACGTGAGACCACAGAAGTTACGCAAGACTACAGCAAGATTACAACCCCCCCCCCTAGTCCTTTTCCTCCAGGGGGGAAAAGAAGAAGAGATTGGATTTATAACCCGCCCTTCACTACCCAAAGGTGTCTCAGAGCGGCTTACAAACTCCTTTCCCTTCCCCTCCCCACAACAGACACCCTGTGAGGCAGGCGGGGCTGAGAGAGCTCTTGACAGAAACGGCTCTTTTTCAAGAACAGCTCTTATCAGAACAACAGCTTGCCCAAGGTCATCCAGCCAGGTGCAAGTGGAGGAGTGGGGAATCAAACCCGGTTCTCCCAGATCAGAGTCCGCGCACTTAACCACTACACCAAACTGATTGGACTTATACCCCGCCGTTCACTACCCAAAGGTGTCTCAGAGCGGCATACAAACTCCTTTCCCTTCCCCTCCCCACAACAGACACCCTGGGAGGTAGGCGGGGCTGAGAGAGCTCTTGACAGAAGCTGCTCTTTTTCAAGAACAGCTCTTATCAGAACTACGGCTTGCCCAAGGTCATCCAGCCAGGTGCAAGTGGAGGAGCGGGGAATCAAACCCGGTTCTCCCAGATTAGAGTCCGCGCACTTAACCATTACACCAAACTGGAAAGAAAACAACACGTATTTGCAAGAGTCCATCACGTTACTATGACTTATGGCTTACTGTATCTCAAGGACTCAAAGTAAGCCACAGCCATTGTGTGCAAACCAAAGGGGACAAATGATAGCAGGGACATCACAAACCAGTAAAGTCACGTAACGTGCAAAATGAACTGCCACAGAAGAGGAAAGAAAGCAGTCACTCGTACGGACAACCCACTCACCCCGAGTCTCCTTCATCCGAGTGCAAAGGGAGCTGAAGAGAGCACCAAAGAAGGGAGCAGAGAGTGTGAAGCAGAGACTGACTGACCTTTTGGAGACTCAAAGAGGCTGTGCTGGCCCAGCTGAGCGAGCAAGGGGCTCCCGCTGTTATGAGGCTCCAGGTGACTCAAGGGAATGTACGAAGGGTACAGACCATTCGGCAGGTGGGAGAAACCTGAAAAGGGGAGAGGAAAAAGAGGGGAGATCAATACAACGTATATGAAAACGTGTTTCCAAAGAGCCCGTACTATCAAATCGGCACCTCTAGAGCGCAACAGATGGCCAGGCCTGGCGACGCAAACCCTCCGCCCACTCCCAGCTCCCCCGTCTTGTGCCAGAGAGCAAAGACCCACATGCTCACACTCTCGTTCTCTTATTTACACATCAAGAGCAAACACAGACATATACGCACGCCCTCCTCTCTCGCTCTCGAAGCGCTCTGCCACTCTTCCGTGCGTTCAAGGAACACGACCGACGCAGGATTGCTAGGCTAATCAGGAGGACTCTCGATCCTAAGTGGCTGCCTTCCCACAAACAACCCTGTATCAGGGTTGCCAACCTGCAGGTAGGGCCTGGGGATCCCTGTGGAATGACAACTTCTCTCCAGACCGCAGAAATCAGTTCCCATGGAGAAAAATGGCTGCTTTGGATGGCGGACCCGACGGCACTCTCCCTTGCTTAGGCCCCTCTCCTCCCTGAAACCCGTCGTCCCCAGATTCTGCCTCCCAAATCTCCAGGTATGTTGCAACCTGGAGTTTGGAACCCCAATCTGCATTCCGGCAAAGATCTAGGGCAAAGAGCAGGCTTAGCTCCTACCGTTTTCTTTTCCCATACAAGCATGCCAGGCGGCGCATGGGGACAAAAAAATGGCAAAGTGCCATTCCTGGGACACACGTGTGGCATTGCACGCGAAGCCTACGATTGCCTCCAAAGCTGTCCAGAGAAGGATCATGCAGAAAAGCTGGGTTTCGTGGACTCCTACGCATGCTCCCCGGGGGTCCTTGTGACACGCAAGCCCTCTCAACCCGTGCCCCCCCCCCCGGATGATTTATTACTAGTCCAAGGTTATAAAAGAGCCTGTCTTAAAACGGGGTCTGAGCCGCAGCTCCCCTAGCTCAGAGCCTCGCGCGCGGAAACCCAGCTCACTGACGCCAAGATTCAGAAAGAAGTTAGCAGGCAGGAGGGAGGCTTGAGCCCAGACCCGGGGAACGGCAGCCAGCACTTTACTTATGAGTAACTGGGACATCTGTGTAAGACTCTGCCCGCACCCTTCTCTCACTCATCCCAGAGGAGGAGGGGGGGGGAGGAAGAAGAGGAGGAGGAGGAGGAGGAGGAGGAGAATGGATTTATGCCCTGCCCTTCACTACCCATAGGTGTCACAGAGCGGCTCACAAACTCCTTTCCCTTCCCAGTTTGGTGTGGTGGTTAAGTGCGCGGACTCTAATCTGGGAGAACCGGGTTTGATTCCCCACTCCTCCTCCACTTGCACCTGGCTGGATGACCTTGGGCAAGCCGTAGCTCTGATAAGAGCTGTCCTCGAAAAAGAGCCGTTTCTGTCGGAGGTCTCTCAGCCCCACCCACCTCCCAGGGTGTCTGTGGTGGGGAGGGGAAGGGAAAGGGGTTTGTAAGCCGCTCTGAGACACCTTTGGGTAGTGAAAGGCAGAGTATAAATCCAAACTCTTCTTCTTCTTCCCCTCCCCACAGCAGACACCCAGAAACACGTATGTGATGCCAACTCTCTTCCTTCTTTTTTTTTTTTAAAAAAATGAAAACTGAGAATTCTGGTCAGCTAGTGGTCAAACAAAGCACAGGGGGGCAAAGCCGAGAATCCGGGCAAAATCTAGACACCTGGATCATATGGCAATCCTACGCCCCAGATGAGAAAAAAGTGGGCTTTTTTTGTAGAAAAAGCCCAGCAGGAACTCATTAGCATAATAGGCCACACCCAACACCAGAAACCAATTAGCATATTAGGCCACACCCCTGACAGCACAGCTCATTAGCATATTAGGCCACACACCCCTCGTTACCAGAAGTGTGGTCATCCAGCCACACCCACCTTTTGCTCCTTATTCTGTTTACCTTGTTTGTGGTCAAAACCCAGGGTTTTTTTGTAGCAGGAACTCCTTTGCATGTTAGGCATGTTAGGCCCTAATGTAGGCAGTCCTAATGAGTTTCTGCTGTTGGGTGTGGCCTATTATGCTAACGAGTTCCTGCTGGGCGTGGCCAACTTGGGAGCCAGCCGGAACTCCGTTCCTGTGCGTTCCGGCCCAAAAATAGCCCTGGAAGAAACCATCTTTCAGCTACTGAGATGACCGTAGGAAGCCCCACTTTGGAGTACCAGTGGCTATTGGGTACCTGGGTTATTTTTTTCTACACCTCTGACAATAGCGAGAACCGTTTTCTTGAAGTACAGAGCCCATCCGGACCGCAAAAGGGTGCTTCCGTTCAAGCGGAAGGCCACCTTGTGTCCCCAGTTTTCCGCCTACACCGTCCATCTTGCCAAAACGGCAACAACAGGAGTGGCAGTTAGCAATATTTCACAGGGAGACAGGTCCCCCATAGCCACCAAGAAGCAGGATCTTTGCACCGGGGGGGGGGACACTTGCGTAACCTCTTGCGGAGCCACGTCGGCCGCAGCGACAGGCCTGTGGCCGTCAAAGGGAAGCGAGAATGGCAGCCTGTGGCGGAAATCTCACTGCACACGTTTTTGCTTTCGCTTCCTCTGCCAATCTCCTGGTCTGTGCTCAGGAGCCCAATCTGGTCTCCTGCCACCGGAACCCAGAGGAAACAGCTCTGGACGGGCCATGTCATAACGATTGCCCGTTTCATTCAGTACAGGACTTGGGGCCCAAACAGTCGTAGACCTGAAAGAATCAAAAACATGGATTTCTTGGCTGCTAGGGGAAAGGCTGTCAAAACCACAGATGACTGGGCCCGCTCGAGCGGCAGACGTCAACAAATCCAAAGAAGAAGAAGAAGAAGAAGAAGAAGAAGAAGAAGAAGAAGAAGAAGGAGAAGGAGAAGGAGAAG